TATGTTTATAAATGCAATTATATTTATATTATAGTTTTTTATAAATGTTTTGAATTAGCTTTGATTTTTATATGATCATATTATTATTTTCAGTTTTATTTTTAGTTCCATTTTATTTTTTATTTTTTTATTTTTTTCCAGTTAGTAATCGCTTCAACTTAAATTTATTTCACATTTTAGTATTTTTATTCTATAATAATACAATATATATTCTAGCTTTATTTCAGTTAACAAACATTTTTTTAATAGTTTTAGTTTACAATAATAATCGTGGGATGTACATCACAGTACAGAAGTAAACTTTTTTTTTAGATTCGTTGCAGGTTCGTCTATTCCTGTTCCCACTCATTATTTTGTGGTCCTGACGAGCTGTAAGAACGACACACAGACGGTGAGCGAATGTTCTGCTGAACTTCAGACGGTTTCCTTCCTGCTTCCACACAGGAGCGACAACATGGAGAGCTGCGCCGTGAGTGTCACACTCTCACTTCCTGTTCCTGTCGCTATCACACACATCTGAAAGCATTACTGCTGCTGTGTTTCTCTGAATCCCTCGTCACTCAAATCCTTACATTTTGGTTCTTTTTGGTGAATCAATGTAAATCACAGTCAGAATGATTCAGTTTGTTCATTTAGTCTTTATTCACATCATCGGTCAAACGTTCTCTGATGTCATGTGACATTTTTTTAATGTTCAACTTAATAACCGTAGGAATATTTACTGTTTGATACCACATCTTATTAGTACCTTAAAATATCATTCATGTTTTCATTATTCATATATATATAGTGACATTAAGCTGTAAAACTAGCGTCTTCGCTGTTTTATTTATGCATATTAATTTAATTGATATAAATCATACAATTCATTGATTATATTTATTATAGACAATCCATCCATTTTTTTATTCAATAAAAATATAAAATATCATAAATGATTATTTAATCATTCATTATTTGTTTTATTTCATTCTTCAGTTACATTAAGCTGTAAAACTAATAACCTCTGTTTTATTTATGCATATTAATTTAAATGATACAAATTTACAGTTAATTGATATTTTTTATTTATTTATTTTATACAATTCAATTATATTTTTTCATGTATTGATTTTTTTATTCATTGATTAAAAAATCTATTTTAAATATTTTTTATTTATTTAATGAATTATTCAGTATTTATTATATTTCAGTTTTCATTGGCATTAAGCTGTAAAACTAACAGCTTTTCTGGTTTATTTATGCATAACAATTTAATTGCTATAAATTATACAGTTCATTCATATTTTGATGTATTTATTTACATTTATTTATTTAAGTAAAAATTCAATTTCAGTGACAGTGATTAAGCTGTGAAACTAACTACTTCTATATATTTTTATTTATACATTGAGTAAAAAGTAAATGTGGGAAAAATAACTGAATACATAATCATATAAAACACTGAATAAACTTTATTTTTTTGTGACGTTAAGCTGTAAAATGAACATCTTCGCCATTTAATTTATGCATATTAATATAAATTATATAACATACAATTTGATACAAAATATTTCATAATCGTCAATATCACTACAAAATGAACGCTCAGTTGTGACTCTTAGACCATTAACGTCATGATTTTCCATAAAGCTGCTTTGAAACGGAATGTGAAATACAATGCAAATACAGGTAAATATGACTCGACTTGATTGCGACAATGACACAGGCGTGTCCAGTGTTGCCAACTAATTTTCAGGGGAAGTTGCTAAAGGAAGATTGATTTGTTGCTAAAAGTTGCTAAATGATGCGATGTCATTGCGCGGTGACGTCATTGCGTAATCACGATGCAAAATTGTGTCACTGCATCAAATCTCAGGAAAAAAAAAAAATTAAATATGTTAATTTAGATGTGTTTATAAAATAATATAAATGCATAATATAATATTAAAATATAAATAACTAATTTTAAATACAACATTGAATTATTTAACACTTTCACATTTTTTAACAATTACAATTTAAGTTTATTTTTATTAGCTAGTAAACTAGTAAAACTACTCATTCTGAACGATTATAGATTTAAGCAGTGTATTAGTAGTTCATATGCTACACTCTAAGAAAAGTCTGTAAAAATAGGGCAAAATCTATTAATATGAAGGAATTTTCCGTAATTATTATTCGCACGTTTTTTTACCTACATTTTAAATTACGCATTGTATTTTGGTGTTTTCGGGTTACAGGGTTACAATGGATAACGGATAATGTCCTGGAAAATTACTACCTTTTTCATTTTTCTAGATATTTTTCTTACCGTGCACTAACTGATCAACAAACTCAAGTACAAGCTACTAACAAGGTGTATCATAAATGAACAATTATTCAATTATTATTATTATTATTAAATTAAACAATTGCTAATAGCAGCCAACTTAATTCATGTCAATTGTGTACTGCTAGGCACCTTTGGTTTCCTCTTTCTGTGTAATTTAGATGGAAAACGTGTGCCTTTTTATCGTTTGAGTCACTTATTAAAAGTTGCTAAATGTTGCCAAATAAATTTTAAAAATAGCTAAATTTGCTGCTAGGTGCTTTTGGAAGAAAAAGTTGCTAGGGTAGTCTGAAAAGTTGCTAAATCTAGCAACAAAATTGCTAAATTGGCAACACTGGGCGTGTCCCATGGTGCTCGTCAACAGAACAAAGAGATTGGTCGTCGTTCATTGTTCTGGTTTCAGCTGCTTCTGTGTTTTGTTTCAGACTTGAATGCTTGACATGAACTAGGACGCTTCCTGTAAACGGAAACTTAATTAATGAAACAATTAAGCTTTATGTGACACAGACACATGAGAAACTGTTTGCGTGTTTGTGTGCAGGACGATCAGCCGGAGTCTCAGTGGGCGGAGCCTCTCCTGTGGATGCACCAATCACGCGTCAGAGATGTGGAGTGGATCAGCGGACTGGACTTCTTTCAGGACAGCAAGCGTCCAATCGCTGAGCTCCTGCGTCTGAAGACCCGCCCCACCGCCGCCATTCATCCCAAAGCTTGAGTCTCGATTGAGTCAAAATGAGTTTTGATTTTGTGTTAACATATTTATTTAATCCTCTTAACGCATTCAGGTCCATTTTGACCTAGAAGAGATGCATAAAAATTCCTAAAAAATGTGTAGTTCTTAGTAAGTGAACAAGCCTTTGCAGATGCATTAAGACCCTCAAAATACACTTCTTCTTTTTTTTTCAGATTTTTTACAATTATGTTTTCAGAGATTACATGTTTTGTGTTCGGGTCGTTTTGACCCGAGTATGTATGTAGAACTATTAGTATCAAAAATACTTTTTGTAAAATGAAGTTATATTAGTGTCTTTTGTAAAATATACAGTATTTAGTCTTTTCCCCCATATCTCACACACTTTTGGACTGAATTTTGTTGATGAACATGAATATGTCTATTGATGAAACAATGCAGCATGAAAAACTGATCACTTTTTTCATCTGAAAGTGAATGTTTTCGCACCTAAAATTAATTTATTTTGCTTGAAAACTAATATTTATGTTGTTTTGTTAGAAATAAATATGTAGGTTTCATAAATGTCGACGGTTTTTGAGCAATCGTGAGTTATAAATTCAAAGGAATTTAATTCAATCCCATTCATTCCAATGAAGAGTCAATACTGGTAATTCTCCGATTATATGCTTTTATAAATTTCATACAAAGATATATTCAAATAAAATTTCTCATCAATATTGAAAAAAAAATTGCAGATATTTTGTGTCATAGTTTGTTGGGTGTGGTTCATGTGTAATTTGAAATTTCAAAGAATTTCTCAATTTGTAATTAATAAAAAGGGGTAAAAGCAATAATAACATTGTAACATTCAAAACTTTGAACACTCATTAATAAGAAGTTGCTAATGTGGTTTTAGTGGCAAAATATTAAGCTATGACTTATTTCCATAAAATAATGATTCTTGGGGTCCAAACGAATAGTAAGCAGATCTCGAGGGTGTGTGATGGTTTAGTAAGAGCGTCGCTGCTGTAAAAGACAAGCTAGATTTCACTGATGTGCTCTTTCTGTGAATCAGTCTTCAGTGAGTTCATTCATATCGACCGCTGAAAATGTGTCATAACTTATCATGCATTAAAATGACTTCATCACAGTTTAGTTTCAATTCCAGTATTTTTCATTGTGGTCTCCAGCAAACGCACGTGTGTTAATGCATGACCAGCCTGGGCTGCTGGGAAATATCTGCAAACGTGTTTCATTAGACGCGCTCTAATCATGGTTTGATGGCTTTGGGAAACGCCGGTCTGGTCTGATTCGGGTCAGTCTGCTGCTTCTAGCCGGTTTATTGGTGCGATGTGTCTTGAACCAGATCTTCTGGTCTGTAGATTTGTACCCTAAAGTGAAATAAACCTCCCAAAACCTCCTTTTGGAGCGTCCTCGTTTGTGAAAATGCTGTAAAATTAAAGTAAAATAGTAAAACTGCAGAAGGTTTTCTGTTAGGGTCATATTATAGCATTTATAGCTGTATAGAAAAACAATAGAAGTCTATATACTGCAACAACAAAAAAATATTTTCTTACTTTTTTTCTCTTGTTATCCAGTGCAAATATCAAACAATTCTTGAATCAGGATAAATTTACTCGAAGGAGCAAAATTACAACATTTTGATACATTTTTGATATAAGTCATTTTGCATCTGCAGTAAATGAATCTTGACTTAAAGGGATAGTTCACCCAAAACTGAAAATGTGATGTTTATCTGCTTACCCCCAGGGCATCCCAGATGTAGGTGGCTTTGTTTCTTCAGTAGAACACATTTGATGATTTTTAACTTTAACCGTTGCAGTCTATCAGTCGTATAATGCATG